CACCTGGTTGTGCTGAGTGATTCAGAAGGTGCCAAAAATGTTTCTGGGGAAGTGTCACATTTCACAATCTAATCTAATCGTAATCTTCCAAAAGATTACGTGACGTTTTACTTTTTCGCATATTCTTGTCTGATCATTTGAAATGCACACATATTGATACTGGGCTGGGTATTGGCTTCTATATATCAATTAAGGGTTAGTCCAATCAATCAATCAATTAATATATTAATTCATGATGGGCACTGGTTTTCTTGTATTGTTTATTCTTTAGTTTAAACATTCAGTTGAAGAGTTACTGATAAAAAGTGTATACTTGTATTTTGAATCAGTTTCATATGGTGACAACAAATACATCTAATTTAATACCTAAAGTTTGTAAAAAATATTGTTTTATTTTCAAAATGCATTTAAGATTTGTTTTAGAGGGAGTAAATGGGTAAAAGAAGATACATTTGTTCAGTGAAGTGCTCAGTGAAATGGCAAAAAACCCCAAACAAACAAAACAAAAATTAGTTTTGGGAAAAATAAAAATGTATATGATCAATAGCGGAATATTTTAATTTTAATTTTTCCCCCCCAAAAAAACCCCAAAAAACAACCCTTGCTCCTGTTTGCTCCGCTTTGAAAGTGCCGTTCCTACTTACTGTAGGAAATAAGTGACCAAACCCTAGTATCTCCTTAACCAACTTCTTCTTTTTTTTTTTTTTTTTTTTTTTTTTAAACAAATCTTTCAACCAAAACATGAAAACATCCAATCTTTTTTACATTCACAAAACAACACCTCATCTCTGCATAGGCTAAGTGTGTAAAATAACAGTTATCCATTCTCAATGATAAAAGCCAATGGGGGAGATAAACATCATCCCCGTTACAATATGACAAGACCCCGTGAGCCCGGCCTGAGTGTATGTACTCTAAAGCCCTCCTCTCTCTGATTTCCCCAATGATTACCTCCTAGTCGGTTCATGCCCCGGGGCAGCTGAGTAGTAATAGAAGGGGTCCCAGTGGGGGAAACCTGTGCTCACTTTAGTGTCAACAAGGACATCCTTCTGTATAGGATCCTTTGCCCCTCGCCAAAACCCCAATTAAGTCCTCTACATTCCACTGTAAATACCCAGGATTCCCTCAAACAATATCCCTATAGCCCAGTGAAAGATTAGCCCGCTGTTTCTGGACGTGTACTGTCATTCTGACTACATAATAACATTGAGTTTATCCTTGTCAGAGATTACTTGTAGGTATTTTAATTAGGGCTTCACCATAATGGGAAAATGTCGGGGAATAATAGCTTGGATATTGTGATATAGGAATGTCACGTGCAGCTGTTCATAATGTGGGATACTTAGTAGGTATTTACTTGGCTACTATTGATGAACTATGAGTGAACGGCGTTAACTAAGGACTTAATAAAATGCTTTGAATTTTGTTTTAATAATGGTGACTGTAACAGGGGTAATGGTCATGTATTAGTAGTACCAGAAGAACTAGATCTGTACTAGTATGAGTATGATCAATTAAATAGTCACACAAACATTCATACACTGGGGGAGTGGTGGGTTGCGTGCCTTGCCCTAGGACACAACAACAGCGTACATCTGTGGGAGCTAGGACTAGATTTATAATAGTAAAAATAATCTGATAATTTCTAAAATACAACTATTTGAGTGCATATTGGTGCACTCAAACATGTTATTATACAAAGTCTCAGAGTAGATTTAACACGTAAACATACAATTTTATTATAGTGAATGTGGCTTGAATTCCTTTGGAACAGGAGTAAACAAAAACAGTTATGACATTTTCACTTAATAGTCAGAGCAAAATCATCAATAACAGCAAATAGTAGGAAAATTAGCAGTAACAGTAATGTGGTACAAGCTTTGAATAATGGATCTCCTTTGCTCAGTCTGGAATTAGTTATGACGCCTTTGTATAATGTGAATGAACTACAAGGTTACGAGACAGTGGAGTATGTGTCCCTGTGAACATCTACTTCAATAGAAGAACAGTGACACAGACACACCCCCATTATAACCGACCATCATTAGCACTGCCTGGAACAACCAAGAGAGGAAGAAACATGCTGCTGTAACTCTGGACCACATAAACAAGGTCAATTTGGCCAGTTTTGTAAGGAAAAGACCTCATTATTCTTTTTTTTTCAGTAAATATAATATATATAATATTGTTTATTAGTTTAACCATGACATTGTGCTATGACCTTGACCTTATAGTCTGGTTATTTTCCCCAAAATATATCACATATTGATCAAGGGTATTGAGCAGAGGTGGGACCAAGTCGTTGTTTTGTAAGTCTCAAGTAAGCCTCAAGTCTTTGACCTCAAGTCCGAGTCAAGTCCCAAGTCAAATACAGGCAAGTCCAAGTCGAGTCTTGAGTCACTGGCCCATAAGTCCAAGTCAAGTCCAAATCATCTGCTTTGAGCTTCAAGTCATTTCAAGTCTTTAAAAGTACTAAATATAACCTGCAATTTATATGAATTTTAAAATAAATTGTACATAAAAAGTCATAGTATATATTTATATATGAGTATTTATAGAGTATATAAGAGTTGTAGAAAGATTTTTTTTGCTTTTTAAATGTTTTGACAAGATCTTAGTGTGAATCATTATGGTCAAAGTAGAAATAATTCAAATTTAAAAGTGCTTCTCAAGTATTCTCAAGTCACAGGACTCAAGTCCGAGTCAAGTCCCAAGACACTGACCTTCAAGTCCAAATCAAGTCCTAAGTCTTAATCCATTTTATCAAGTCAAGTCTCAAGTCCTAAAAATAGTGACTCAAGTCTGACTCGAGTCCAAGTCACGGCTTGCAAGTCCCCACATCTGGTACTGAGACTAACAGTACTAATCATTAATTAACAGTAACTGCAGAATTTGGTGCTACTAGTGCCAATAACTAATATAAAATTTATTAAACTTAATGCAGTACTTTAATCCACCTTTACCACTGCAAGATTTTGGTGTTTTAGGAGAGATCTATGCTCCAAATGCATCCTCCAAATATATATTTTTTTATTATTTCATGGGCTAACTTTGTATTTAGATAAACTTTTTCTCCTTCTCTTCCCATCATAAGATACTGTAGGCTAAATATCAAAATGTCATCAAACACAAGCACCATTGGGGTTGAATTTGCACTCTTGATGTGGTTTTGTATTGATGTTTATGGATGCAGACAAGCACCTAGCAACCGCAGTCTGCTATTTGACTAATTTCATATTTGAGCTCAGCAGCCTGTCATCAACACTCTTATCAAAAATACATACCGGAGAGTAATCGCACAGGGCCAGAGCCAAAATACCTGGCACATGAGCACCACTGACAGATGGGAGAGGGAGGGGGAGGAGACTGGGAAAGAAACAGGACAAAGATGACAAAAACAGATACAAATACTCATGTTATCCACTGTCATTATCATTTATTATAGTAACTTTTAATGTAATGTCAGTAGAAACAACAAAGCAATTTGAACAGGACCTTTGTCACTATAAAATTACACTATATAGGCTAATATATTTAATATTAATTAAACTTACCTAAACACTAAAACATAAATCGGATGGCAAAGAGGTTATGGAGGTAGCAATATGCAACAGATAAAAATGTACCTGCCATCTTCTTAGTTGGCCTATATAGGGTAAATTTGGCAACTTTAAAATCTATAATTCTTTTCATTTATTTATATAGCCTATTTATTGAGGCTACTTGAATAACAACAATGTAGTAGTGTAATAACTGATCAAGGACCAGTTAGAGAGAGCACATCACCCCAGTACTGAAGTGCACTGGCTTCCTGTGAGCTTCAGGATAGATTTTAAAGTTCTTTTATTGGTTTATAAAGCTCTTAATGGTCTTAGTCCTATTTATTTATCTGATCTGCTTTTACCATATGAGCTTCTTAGACTTTCAGTCATCTTTTAACTGTCCCAAGAGTCCAAACTAAAACTCAAGGTGAGTCATCATTCAGCTTTTAAGGCCCCCATTTGCGAAACAGTCAACCTGAGGATCGGAGGTCTGCTGCGAGTGTTCATATTTTTAAAAGTAAACTCAAAAACTAAATTATTATTATTATTATATTTGATTTAAATTAAATGATCATTACTATTTTACTTAGTCTCCATCTTATTTTAGCTCTCCATTTTTTGTTTTTACTATAACCCTTAGGAGCTTTCTGTTTATGTTTTATTGTTGCATATATGGATGAAACAAGAGGGTGGGGTTTCTGTTGTTTTTGTCATTTTTTCTGTTGCATGTGAAGCACTTTGTTCAAATGTATGAAAAGTGCTATACAAATAAAGTTTGATTGTTTGATATAGGCCTAAGGAATGTACTTGTTTTTAAGAGAAGCTCACCTTCACTTTTTGGTTCTCATGCCATAACAATTAGTCTAGTCATTACTGGTGGTCTTGGCCTGTATGTTTTGTCCAGTAATGTCAGAAGTCCGAGCTGCCTGCATGACTGCTTAGAGGCATGTGCCGGTGCTCTGCAGGGGGTGCATCTGAATCACAACATGACTGGCCATTAGCGCCCTGTGTGGTAAACGCACCAGAGCGAGACAAGCCTGAACAAGGAACTGTAGTGGCACAACGCTGCTGGGGAGGTAAATACCACCGCTTCCTAGAGCAAAACACCATAAAACTGTAAAAACAAGACAAATGAAGGAATATTTCAGGTCGATTGCAAAGACTCGGAAGTAGCCTATGGGATAATCTCGTTACGTTTAATGCAGATCTGGTCAAAAGCAAAACAAGAACGCGCATTTTCCCCTCGTCCGTCTTGGAAATAAAAGGTGCTTTGTTGTAAATTCATCCAGCTCGGAGACCCACCTGTTGCCCGACGCTGCGGCAGCTCCAAGTCCACGTGTGGGCGGGGCCAGCGCACGAGGGGGGGCTCGGTGTGGACCAATCACGCTCCACCGCAGCTTCAGCCCTATAAATACAGCACGAGCAGCGGACTCTTCACATTCTCACTCGGATCTCTCGAACATCAACGATAGAGTCACTATTTATTCCAGTCAGACGTACCAGGAGCGTATCTGGACTTATCTTTGCGCTTTACCGAAGACTTTGGACACGTTTATTGCTATTTCCTTGCAGTTGTTTTGATAAAGCTGCAAAATGCGTCTTATTCACAACATGAGCACCATCACGGAGTATCCCACACAGGAATATACGGCTCCGAACCGGACCATAAAAATAGCCGTGATTGGCGGCAGCGGCGTGGGCAAAACAGGTAAGAATTGCCCAAAAGCACACATGCAATTTATGTATATTTATATATTTAAGCCTATTTGTGTATTGTAATGTGTGAATAATTGTCTAATAGGCTATCGTTTCTTCTCTTTTGCAGCTCTCGTTGTGAGATTCCTAACCAAACGCTTTATTGGCGACTACGAGAGAAATGCCGGTAAGTTCCAAAAAAAAAAAAAAAAGTAATAAAAATAATAATGATAATGCAATGAGAGGAATTTAATTGGCACGATCAATGTAGCTTATTATGATTATTTGCAGTGAACTGATGTTTATTTTATTTTTTATTTCTGCAGGCAATCTTTACTCTCGCGAGGTCCAGGTGGATGGAGACCAAGTGACCATCCAAGTGCAGGACACTCCAGGAGTCGAGGTAAGATGCACTTTCAATGTATCTCCAGTCGTAGCCCTACTAGAATTGTGCTTTTTGACTAAATAGAGTTCAAATCCAAGCTATAAAATCACCACTTAAATCAAATTGAGACAACAATGTCCCTAAACTAAACATTAGTGATTAGTCCAGTTGTAAACATCTTCAATGGCCTGTCTAATCTCTTATTTATTTAGGCTAATGTATGTCTGAGTTACCCAATAGAGCGTGCTCAGTCACCCACACCTCACAGTTCACAGGGGTAACTGTATCACTCTGTCTCCAGACACATTCCAGTCGTAGCTAAAGATCAGTGCCGAAAGTCCAGGGATATTTGATTTGGGTTGACTTCAGTAGAGGGGATTATTTACATAAGATGAGTAATGGAAAGGAAGGAACAGTTTTATAACCTGTCTCTTGTTTTTCCTTTTGCAGTTGACTGATAATGGCATGAGTCTCCCAGAACACGTCTCCTGCTCCGTGCAATGGGCAGACGCAGTAGTCCTGGTGTACTCCGTGACCGACCGCCACAGTTTTGATCTGATCTGCCACCTTCATCAGTTAGTGCAGCGTGCAGGTGGGGCTAACCCTCCCCCGGTCATCCTGCTTGCCAACAAAGCCGACCTGCTCCACCTGAGGCGAGTGGAGGCTCAACAGGGCCCTCTGCTGGCCACGACACTGGGCTGCTCCTTCTACGAGGTATCAGCGAGCGAGGACTATAACCAGGTGCATGGTGCATTTCACAGACTGTGCTGCCAGCTTGCCAAGCAGCCCGCCCCAGTCTCCACCACCCCCACCAACAACCCCACCAGCGCCCCCTCCGAAAAGAAGCGCTCCCCTCTCATCCCCCGGCCCAAGTCCCCCAACATGCAGGATCTGAAGAGGCGCTTCAAACAGGCGCTGTCTGCAAAAGTGAGGACTGTGACATCAGTGTGAAAGGGACATAAAAGTGGTCCCGAGTGGCCACGTGTGGAAAGAAAGCTTTGAACGAGGACAAAGAGGCGATACGCATCTTGGGACATCCTGAACCTGGTGGTCAGGCGTGTGGCAGACAGTGCTGACACAGGGACAGTGGACAGGTGCCTCCAACAGAAGAGGTGAAGTGTGGCCCCTCCTCTGTGTTAGTGAGAGGAGAGGCAGATGAGCAGGGAGAGAGGAAGCAGAAGATTTACATTCTGAACTAAACGGTGTAAATTTACGCCTGGCACCAAAACTTCTGTGAAGGACTCTGTATTTTTAGCCAGTGCTCTTGTGTGGTCTGTAGAGTGACTAAATGCTGGTATTGATGTGCCAGTCACTTGAGCCAGAGACAGTGCCAGCCTCTTGTATGTGAATAATGCAATCTAATGTGTGTTTTGAACATCATTGTGGTAGGAGAAAGAGATGGCAGCAGACAAGTATGTAGCATGTGAAAATTGTTATCACTGATGCACTTTACAAAATGTCCAAAGGGCCAATTGTTATTATTTATTTGCTACTGTTTCACTTTTTGGTCACAATAAAGACAGATGAATTTGAACTGTTTTATGTGTTTTATTCCGTTATTTATTCACGTCATCTTTATCTGTCACTCGTGTGTGTGTATATATATATATATATATATATATATATATATATATATATATATATATATATATATATATATATATATATATATATATATATATATATATATATATATGTATATGTATATATAAAATGTACTGACAGATACAGTACATTCACACCTGGGTCTTCAGTGTAATGGGATGTCCTTGGGGCTCAGAGTTGCAGTGAATGGATTGACGCACGCAGTCAAAGGTATCTGAGTGCTTTCATCACCAGGGGAACGGTGAATAAAACCACACAATAAAACCCTTATCAGCAGCACATCTTCAGATTCCTCTAAAATTCAAAAAAACCGGCCTCAGGCCTTGGCCCCCTGCAGTTTCTGGCACAAAAGATGTTATGTAATCTACGAGTTAACTTCACTGATAAATATGAACTTTCCCAGTGTTGACCTTGTCTGGTTGTCTCGACCACAAGATGATAAATGAAATTAAGCACTCTGTTAAATGCGAGGTCTTATTAAATTAGTGAAGTGCTGATTCACAAGTCTCAAGGCAATTAGTGAGTAATGACTTTGGGGTTTCAGCTACATCAATTCACAACAAAAACAGGACTGCACAAAGGATAGCTCTATACCAGGGCTAAAACAAAGGAAAAGTCAAGACAGAAAACAAGTCTGATCTGGACTACAGTATATCAGCACTATGTTAGGTCTAAACCCAGACTATAGCAGGACTACACTATGTCTAAAAGTAGGACCAAACCTTTATTCATGGATTTAAGAGTGACAAATTTAGCATCATAGCCATAGTAATCAACAAGTAACAAAATATATGAATGGGTGAAAAGATCGTCTATAAAGAGCTAAAGTTGAATGTTCAGGAATTCATTTAGTCTTCTTTAATAAAGTGGGTGAAGCTGAAAACCACAAGTCAGCTGTCTGCTCTGTTACAGTAAAGTCTTAATCAGAACAGACCTGAGGCTAAACTAGCACTGAAAAGGGGCAACAGAAATCTGAATTGTATCAAGTCTGAATAAAAACTATATTGTCACCAAAGTGTAAATTTCCAATAGGACTAAACTAGTACAAAGCAGACCATACAAGAACATGAGGATTTGGGGGATACCAGTGTCATTTCCATTGTCATCTACATTATGACAGTCATGTAGTTCTACTGTACCGAGCTGATTCACTTATGAGTAGGAAAAAACTATTGAAAGTAGAAACACATGTGGAGTGGGTGGGCGGACTGTTGTGGAGGAGGTGAGAGTGTGCTATCGCTGTGAGCAGACGGTGCGAAACCATTTGTTAATTATTCTGACCTGAGCCCACCACAACTTGATACGGAGAGGGACAAAAGCTGAGACTGCAGTGTGGATTGCGCTGAGCTATAGGGGCTCTCTGTTCACACCTCCTGCACTAATGAATTCACACTTAGCTCCTGGGTTTGGCACCTAGAGGGTCAACGAGGCTAACATCTCAACGTCCTTGGGTTATATGGAGGAAACAAGTGTTATATACATGTGGATTTGAAGACATTTTATTTGACTTATTTACATATTTAATAATAGATTCTTTTACATCTTTACAAGAAAAAGTAAAGCAATACACACTTGCAATTACACCTCTTAGGAATGTTTGTCCGTATCATTATGACAAAGCTTGTTTTGGAATATAGGTCCATGGTATGTTTGACAAGAGAGACCAATGAACAGGGTGCATCTATATCTATATATCCAAAATATTGCTTTGTAAACAGTGTCATACAAGCTAGTTTCTATAATTGAAAAATATTGTAGCGTGTGTTGGCATTTGATAAAAAAACAAAATAAGTAAACCACTGAAAAATATCAAAGTCAATCACAGACTGTATAAAGAAGTGGACTAAGTGAACCCATAGCGTCAAATGAAGCTCACAGAGGCTAACAGTTATGGGGCAAATTTGGAGACGTGCTCTATATTAGGAATAGGAATTAATTTATGGCTAATACAGTGAAATAAAAATACCAGGATCAACCCAAGGACCCCGAATGAGGAGCCTGAAAGCATCAGTTACAGAGAGGGGAGGCAACAGTTTCTCAATACAAACTGAATTGGAGCTGGAGTCGATGGAGGCGGAAGCGCACCCATGCTCACTTCCTATTTGGAACGCAATGACTAGCAGGCTTTTATGTCCATTTATATACAGTCTATGAAGTCAGTAGGAAAAAGGGTTACGCTAGGGATGTAACGATATCCAAATCTCATGGTACGATGTTATCATGATATGCCTCTCACGGTACAATATTTATTGCAATATTCTGGAGAAGCTGATATAATTGTAGATGGGACACTTTTTTGCTTTTAAAATACCTGACAAGGTTTTGGTGTGAATTATTACTGTCATACTCCCAAGTACTGAAGTAAAATACATATCTCTTCATATTGTCAGCACTTAAATGAATCATGGAATATGTAGTTCCTGATGTTTATAAGCTGTTGCGACTATAAAACCATGCATTTAAGGAAAGGAACTTGTAATTCGATATATTATGACAGCCCACAAGATTATTGTGAGACTTGATGATAAGATATCATGATATTTTGGTTATTGTTACATCCCTAGTTTATGCAATTATACCGCAAAATTTATAACTTTTTAACTGTAAAAATACTCTTAGTTAATGAGTCAGAAATTTCCAGATTATACATTTCCCAATCCGAATTTTAGCTATAAATTAGTATCAGTGGGCTACCATTAAAAAGTAAATACCAATCCACCACATCACCTAAGTCAGGGGTCTCCAAACATTTTCCCCGGGTGAGCTACCTTTACAAAATGAAAATTACAGAAAGCTATTTATTTTAGCAATGAAGGAAATAAAGTATACTTAAGAGCCATAGCAACACTTAGATGACAATTAGATAAAACGTAAAACATAAACCATTATTTATTTATGAGTGCACAAAGTCAGACAGCAAAATGATAGATTTACAATAATAATAAAGTTTGTATTCATCACATTTGCGTTATTCAGGACAATATGTGTAATTCAGAAAGCCCTTGGTGAGCTACTTGGAAGGGGGTGGAGAGCTACTGGTAGCTCCTGAGCTACAGGTTGGAGACCCCTGACCTGAGTCAATGGGAACTGGGCCGTTCCATACCATTCCAAATCACATATGTTGTACATTTCTGGGTCATATCTTTCCTCATACTCCAATGTCTGGGGTGAGCCGTCGCGTGGTGAAAAGCAGCTCTGGTATATCTGTCGGTCTGAGAAGCCTAGTGGCCAAAACCAGCACCTGCAACATAAAACAATCCACACATATGAGTGAAGTGGGTCAGTGACACTTTGAAATGAGGCAGACTGTGAGGTCAGAATGACTAATGTGAAAAAATCTACAATCAATGGGGAGCACAAATCACGAGGCTAAGCACGTTGCAAAAGGTGTGAATTCCACCTCATTGCTTTGCCACAGGAAGAATGTTTTCTAAAGTTGGAATTGAATATTTTTTTAATTGTTAATACTTTGAAGCACCTCTGTAAGACACAATAAAAAGAGGCAAAGCAAATTTTTATCAGCGTTACTCCTGGAGGGAGTAAGGAAGGTATGTGGCATGTAGATTTACAGATCTGTTTGCTGTTCGTTTAATCTTAGTTTTTGACCTGGTCTGGTTTTTGTGCTGTATTTTTGGTACCGGCCTCTATGACATGCTTTAGCTCATAGGAGGAACTAAGAATGGGAGCCACATTTCTGGAACTTGGAGTACTCCGTGGATGCACGCAGTTTACTCTTTGAAATCCGGACCATAAATATCTCCCTACACATAATAATTTCTGTTTTACTGTTTTTTCATTCCAATGATGTATTAATGAAAGACTGCTTTATTTGACTGTCGGCCTTTATCAGTGAAATATGGTTTGTATTAGCGTGGAGCCCGTTCTGTTCTTCTGTTGTGTAACTCAGAATCTGTTTTAAGTTTGACAGTGCTCCTCTTTCACTGGGCCACCCTATGGCCACTGGAGACAAGTTTCTTTGTTGCAGTCTGGAAATAATGAACTACAGTGCATTACAAAAGTTCAGAAAGGCTGTGGACAAATTAAGATAAACAGACTGGCACTGCCCCAGTATACAGAAGAAGTGCAAAAATGAGCAGGCTCCTCTGTGGTCTAATTTTAAAAGTGCCCAGACCTTAATCCAAACATCATATAATACTGGTGTGAAAGTTCTTAATGTAAAACTAAAAACAAAAAAAACAAAAAAAGCAAAAATAGAACTGTAATTTTTTTGGTGAGTGACTGAAAAAAATCCCATAAATTGACAAAATCTCAAACAGTTTTAGAGTAACCTTGAACTTTATCAGTATTTCCACTATTAATAACTTAAAGAAAGTGCTGCTATTTTGTGCTGCAAGTTAAGTCTCTCTCCCGCTCTCTAAAAGTATGCATTATATTTGATTCCAACAGGCAATAAATCAGTTTAGAGGAGAAAAAAAAACACATTCACATTACCATTTAATAAAAAAAAAAAAGTATTTTATTGTGTATTATATTATTTTTTGTACATTCACTTGACTTTATTTCAAAAACAAACCACTGCTGTATGCTGTGAGGGTGCATGTGAATTAAACAATGTGAAAAAACATTAAAACATGCATAAGTACTAAATAATGGCCAATGCACACAAATCATGTGTCATCATAAAATCATTTTTGTATTTTTTTAAAATAATGCAAGCGTAAGGGGTTAGGGTTGGAGGTGCTTTAGCACCATTGACGTCTGGGTCCCCTCCTCTGCTCCTCCACTATGGCCTCTCCTTATGGGGTGGTTAGATCGCTTTCACAACAAAACGTCAGGACACACAGCTCCTCTCGTGCTGAGAATAGTTCAGAGGTGCACCTCCTGCACCTTCCTGGACATTTTCTCATTTTCTTCGTAGGTTAGATCTCCACCAACGTCAGTAGAAGTGGTTTAAGTGTCTATCATCATCATCTTCATCATCTCATGGGCTTTACTGGTGTTGGCTCTTGTTTGAGCTGAACAGTGTCTTTCACTGTATTGTTATACAAACATCTTATCTCCTTGTACGCACTAACTTGGTTTTCCAGCTCTTTCTCTTTATTCAGGAGAGAAGCTTTGAGCTCTTTCAACTCCAAGTCTTTTTCATTCGTCTATTCTCTGACTTTTTGGAGTGGGCAAGCTCTTGTTTAAGTTGCACATTTTCCTGTACTTTAGAATTATACAGGTACTGGAGCCCCTTCTGTATTTGCTTGTCCTTCTCCTGAAGAGAATCAATAAGTTTCTGCAACTCCAAGTCTTTTTCGTTCATCTTTTCCAAAACCTCTTTGGAGTCGGCAAGCTCTTGTTTCTGTTGCTTATTTTCCTGGACTTTATAATCATACAGGTACTGGAGCGTTTTATGTGCGGTACGTAGGCCTACGAGTTCTTTGTCCTTCTTCTGAAGAGTATCAGTGAACTGCAACACCTTTTCTTTGCCCATCTTCTCCTCAATCTTGAGCTTGAAGTCTATACCAAAGCTTCTTTGGACCTGATCTGCAAACTGGGTTCTTGTCCACTCCAACTCTTTGTGTAGTGCCCTGACCAGAGCGCTGTCCTCCAGGGGTGGAAGTTCCTGGACCAGAGTAGTCCTGGGGTCTCAAACTCAATTGGACCAACTGAATCAGTGTTGGTCGTGGGCCACATATTATAAGATATAATATTTTCTTATAGGCTACTATTTTCTTATAGGTTACAAGGACACTATATTATTGTATATATAATGCAGTGGCACTCAAGGGGTTAAGAAAAGAATATAGTAGTTAGTAAAAGTAAAATTCAAGATGCATTACAGGCTTTTAAGCAGTATTCTAAACCCAAAAGTGTCTCTGTGTTGTCAATTCAAACAGATTTTCAACCAGAGCACCAGGGTCAATCTCTGCTTCTGCAAAGACACTTTGGAAACAAGTCTGTGTAGAAGCTCTGTCTGCCCCTCTCACTCTGTCCTGCTGTTTGTTTTCTGCCAATGCTGCACGGGCAGCAGGGCAGGGGATGAATTGGCCCTACAGGCACCATTATAGGAACTGTAGTTCAAATTGTCCACTTCTAATAGAAATTAGAAATTGTCTCGTGCGGCACAAGTTTGAGACCCCTGCCTTAGATAATGATCTGCATCTTGTTCAAAATGACTTCACAGAACTAACCTATCACAACAAAATCCCCTCACAAAAACAATGCTATTTTTATGCAACGTGTATGTTGGTAGCCTAAAGCTGGGGTCAGAGTGTGCTAACTATTATATAAGGGTCTTTACTCCCTTTTCCTTATTACACAGATGCAGAGCTTTGATCCTTCACAGCTCTTTCATTGCCCTGGCCGGCTTCTCCAAACCCCTTTATTAAAGCAGCTCACTTGACCAGCCTAGCTCCCTCCTGCTTCTTTGCTTTAACCCTAACGCCGCATGTATCTGCATATTTTACATCCATGTGTCAATTGCGTATGTAATCAGAGCTCTCATTGCACCCAAGCACCCAGAGCATGAGACCGGTAAAACCCAGCGCGCACATGTACTTGCCATAATGACTTCATTGTGTGATCAGATGGTGAGGTCGTCCCTATACACCTGAGGTGCACTCTATGTAGGTCAGTGTTTATGTGAGAGGATCAAACCAGATGCCTCGCCACTCAACTGAAGGTCTCAGCCCCATCTGTGGACCTGGCCTTGTCTGGAAGTCAGTGCAATTTAGTTGAAAGGATTTGGGTCAATGATCCATTTGTTACATTGGAAACATTTCTATAGCAGAGTAAAAGCTTGGATGAAAGTAAATATTTTATAAATATTTGGTGTCAGCTTTGTTATGCACTATTTAAGGCAAGATATAAAATCCTTTATTTTTCACGCAATGCAGAATATTTCAAGTGCAAAAAGGCTGACACTAAACATATTCTTGTCCTGACCTTACAAGTTTTCACAAGATTACATGAGACTTTTTATTCACTTTTCTGTTAGTTACAAGCAAATTCCAGCAGAGATCTAGGTCACAATCTTATCCATTATCCACAATTGTGAATGGTGACAATGAGCCTTAAAACGCTGGTTGGAATCTATCTTTATACAGTGTAGCACATGAAATGAATGCATGAATCAATTTAAGTAACATTGTGCAGTAAGTTACAGTGCTGAATATACAACTAAACTAAGTAAAGTAAAGGGTGTTGCAGAACCAGGTACATTTAACTTCAGTATGACAGCAAGTTTGTGAATACTTAATTATTATCTTGGATTAGTTTTCTAATGCCATGCCTTTCACTGGCAATTTGTTACAACTTGCTGCTAATAACTATAGCTCAAAATAAACATACTAGCCAACAAGCAATCAACCTGATTCATCAGCTGGTTTCACTTCGTTTCATTTTGTAGAAACTGTCTGACCTCGCAGCATTATAATTTGTTCGCTCGACGGTAAGCAGGTACTTTTTTTCATTTAACCAATCACTGCTATTTGGTAGTCATGTATGCAATGCGCTGCTAACAGGGCTAACTGATATATTAATGTTTTTCCCAAATCCCGTAGGAAGAAGGGCAATAACGTCTTTCCCCTTGATGAAATTCTGGATTTAAATCCTCAATCTCGGGAATCGTTGACAAAACAGCCCTGGTTTTTTATACTTCATGACGTTTACAGGCTCTGTATGGAACAGTATCACCAGAATGCAGGCATTCTGTTTACAAACACTTGAAGAGTGCATAGTAGTACTCATTACCTGTCTCTCTCAGACTTGTAATACTCACTTGTGTGGCAGGTTTGTGGGTGGAGACAACCTCTTTGATGAGGCGGAGCTCTGAGGGGGTGACTCCTCCCACCAGGAACAAGAACATCACTGGATTGTCTCTTGGATGAGGACGATTCACCTGCAAAACAGATATTGATTTGACATATTTATATGTAAAATGTTAGTTTGATCCCAATGTCACTAATGTCCATATAATGTTCATATGGTTCATACAATGTACATCATTAATAATAAACTTTATTTTGAGCAATGCAAACACCGGTAACTGAACAAATGCAAGGTAGATTGATTCGATGCAATACTCTGGAACATTCCAGGCACAGTAACAACATCTCCATGGTGACAGGCAGGTGGGAGACCCTCCACCTAAAAAGTTACACACTGCACTATTTTCTTAGGCCCTGCACAGAAACTGTTGCAATTTGGGCTATATAAATTGAGTGAATGAAAAGTCATAATTCAGCCATTTTCTATCTTCTATTCTGGCCCCTGGCCTTTCCCTGACTCACAGTGCGGCTGGACTCCTCTCTTCCCTCATCCATAACGGTCCTGCATTACCACAGCTTACAGCATCTTTGCCACACAACAAACCTCCTGGTGGTGCAACACGTGGACTCACAACACTACCAACAGGTGTAAACCCAAAACCACTCCTCTTCTGTCCTTTTCACTGTCCCCTCACCTGCCTACCCCCATACATGGCTCCTATCAAACACATGCAATTTAAGCAGCGGGGCGAGCTCTTTGGCACGATTGGTCAGTGGGGAGGGTAATAGGTTGTGTGTTATTGGCTGCCACATATGAAGACGGTGAATCTCAAAGCAGCAGGGGGCGGTACAGAGGTGAGAGTGGCTGTACACGTGAGCCCAGAGAGGAAAGCATGGCGAATGCGACTCAACGTGTGTTTGTTGTGGTGTATTAATAAAGTATAAAGTGGTGTGCCGTGGAGCATGTGAGAAACCATGGGAAAGACGAGGAGGAGGGTCTGAGGAGGGACTGGATGTGTTGATTGGACTGTGATGAGTGGGAAATGGCAAGATGCTATCTGATATCCAGGCAGAGAAAGCAAGACTCCTACCTGGCAAGTTATTTTTAGACATGCAAAAATAGTTGGCATTTCATTTTTAGAAGAGACCGTGGGACTGATTTTGATGTTTTGCATAAATTAGGTGAACAAAAGGTTGGCTAAATTTAACATGCGAAAATTATGAGGCTTGTCAGCGGCATTGAAAGCCACGTTTGATGAAACAAAATATCAACAAAAGGAATAAAAGAGCTATTCATAAGTCGGACAGAACACATAAAACCAAAACAATAAGGGAGTACACCTTGAGTAAACAGTCAAACAAGTGTAAAACAGTTAAAAGGCTAAAAAAAAAAGAAAAGAAAAAGGCTTTTTTTTAAACAAACAACTAACAAAATGTACCAAGCAATGTCATGTCAAACTCTTTTTATACTTGTTTGGAAGGATGAAAATATGCTAGTCCGATGATTCACAGCATTTGAATAGATCCTTGTTGCTTCTGTGTTTACACATAATAATCTAGCATAGGTTTGTTTTGCAGTGCTTTTGAGTGCACCAATATGAGTGTACATGAGAAAATTGAAAGTACGATTTAGCACAAAGGGACATAGTCTAGTCTGCTATCCTTTTGATCATATGGGAGCTTGTGTGCAAGCTACAATTATAGGAAAAAATACTGTGGAAAGAAATAGGACAACTTTCAGAGGGCTTTGCATGCACTGAGTTTTGGGTTTTGTCTACGTCAGTGATGGAAATATGAAGTGCTAATTGAGGTATATAGTCAGATGTGTCAGCAGTGGTTAGGGGGTATGGGATTTAGTGGGTTGGAAAATCCTGACCTTAATCCTACATAGACTAGAAATATTGTAAAGAAGAAAAAAATAAGCATCGGTATGTTAAGGGAACATATACGTGTCAAAAATCATGGAGACTGGAGGGACGCACGATAAAGGAATGTGCTAAAATTCATCAAAATTATGTGGATCACTGATAAGGGAAGATGAACAGGCCACACTGGAGCCTTCGGGGCTGGATTCACATACTTGGATTACACAAGTTTTCACTAGTTTCCCAGTACCCGTTTTTGTAAATTGGCATCATAGATTATATAAAGCAGTGGATTAAGTTAATGTGACGTCACCTATAGCGTTCAGCTCCAGTCAAATGAAGCTCGTGCAGTAGTAGTAGTTATGCGGCAAATTTAGAGCCAAGTTCCATATTAGGAACAGCAATTTATTTATGGACAAAATAGCAAAATACAAACACCAGGATCATGTAGAGCGGGTTAATAAGACCAAAATGTTACAGAGAGAGGGGTGACAATTTTTCAAAGTTTTGTCAAACTGTTTTGCACAAATGAATTAAAATGCAACCTGAGAGGTCAAATGAATTTTAAAAAACAACTCTCAAAAGCATGTGTGTTACCAAACGTGGAGTATGGAAGAGTTTAGATGACCATATCAAAGCTTGTACTAATTTGGTACACTTCAAAAAACAATATAAAAATACCTAGAAGACTAGATATATTGTTTTCACAAGTAAACCACGACTATTAACAAAACACATGCTTTTTTTTAACATTACCTTTTATTTCGATACGATCATAAACAATACATTTTGTGCCTTCTTTATCATTATTATTAGTTTGTACAAACATAAAATAAAATTGTTTAAAAATGAAGATAAGAACTAAAGAGTGATGATTTAAAAAGCTAAAAAAAAAAAAAAAACACTGTAGAAACCTTAAAAAAAAAAAAAAGTATAAAGTGTTATGTTTTTAAAGATATAGAGCTCTAGAATGAACGAATTATGCATTAAATTTTGTTTGTTTTAAATTATAATTTGTCTCTTATATATACAGTAAGTCATAGGTGAAATTGTAAATGCAAACTTGCTGCTCATACGCTGCTTTTCTTTCTTTGAATTTGGTCATTGTTTAAAAGGGTTAGGAGTTAGTACATAGGCATAAGTACTTTTTACTTCAGCCTAAACACTTTCGGTCATGATCCATGGCGTTGTAGTCTATGTTTTTTTTTTTGTAGTGCTGCAAAATGACTGAATAAAACTGCTGCTATACTATAATGTACTGTCAAATGGAATCAGAGTCGATGCATATTTCCTATTTGGAACGTGGCGACTAGCAGGTTGGCCATGACCATTTATAAATAGTCAGTGGTTGGCATACAGCTCGTCATTGCTTTGGTGAATTTTTATACCAGATGCCCTTTCTGTGACTTTCTTTCTGTTGAAATGAAATGGAAGCTATGTATACAACAACCACATGCAATGAATGAGGTTTGCCCCAGTTATCCTCCAGTTGTTGGGCAACCACTTTACTCATTATGCCGCTGTAAGCACTTGAAATAAATGAGAATGTATTGTGTTCTGTCCGTGCTTGGGACATTCTTAGTGAGTAAATCTATAAACAAAAATAGTTTCACAAATATCTAAGCACATTTTTTCGCTGCAAGGAAAAACAGTTTGTTCTATGTCAATGTGCTGCCTGTAATATGTCACAATACAAGTGCTACTAAATCCACTCAGGGATGAATAATCCTTCGGAAATTGCTATAAAAATACTCCATTTGCATCTTTCTGTCTCCACTAGGCCCTCATTGTATCAATTTTAACTGAAAGCAGATCGTGTCTTGAATTAGTCTATCTGTGTATAGCTCCTACCAAATTTAGAACAATGTGAAGACAAAGTAGGTCATATTGATGAAACAAAGTAGAGTTCACAAACTTTGGAGGACGTTGTATATGCACAGATAATGACAGAGGCGTCGCAAGTGTAGCCATGTTAGGTTTAAGTCATCCTGGGATTTTTGAATGTATACAGTCTATATCTACACAATGGCTTTGATGTCTTCTCTATTTATCATATCAGATCATGTGCAGCCCAAGTGGTACATCTAATGTAAAATCTACCCTTTCAGATCTCCAGAACTGTGATCAATCCTGCGTGCAAAAAATAAAGATTAAGCTCCAGATAAATGCTCTTGACAATGATGCTGTTGCTCAAAATCTAGGGAGGTTTAAGGTTTATCTTTATTGTCCCTGTAGAGAAATTTGTTCTCTGCACTTGACCCAACTTTCCAGTGACTGTCAAAGCCTGAGGAGCAGCCTCATGAGCTAAGGCTACAACAGATGTGGAGTTTACCATGGCACTGTATTGTACATCACATGAGCAGTTCTTAATATCTACTCAAAGGTTGATGGTTTGTTTCCAAAGTGTCTTTGCAGAAGTAAAGATTGATCCTGGTGCTCTGGTTGAAAATCTGTATGAATTGAACTTTAGGATTTAGGATATAGCTTAAAAGCCTGTAATAAATCGTGAGTATTTTTTATTAACTAGCATATTATTTTCTTAACCCCAAGTAGCTAGGCTTGGTAAGGATTACCATACTTAAACTGGAGGAGGGCTTCCCATGCACTGCAGTCGCTTATTGCATAGCCCCAGCGTCAGTGAAAGATGGGTCAAATGCACAATACAATTTTCACTATGGGGACAATAAAGTAGTTTACCTCTTAACGTTAACCTAAACCTTTTTACGTGTGAATTCGCATGTAGGCCAAAAACTGGAGCAGAGTCTGTGGGTTTAAAAATAGCTTTTGTATTTGGGAGTGTACCGGGCTGGCGCTCCTCTGGCATGTGCAGGTTTATGGGATGTCTGAGCTGGAAGTTTGTAAAGCCAAGATCTTTTTTTCGCGTGCAAAAAGAGGACGTGATTATACAACAGGGCCACCCCTCCCTTCTGGGTCAGCAGCAGAGTAAGCAAGCCCAGATGTGGAGGAATAACAAACTGTATCACAATCTGTAGAGGATATACATTACCTACGTATACATATTGTCTTCTAACCATAGCTGTGATTTCACTGCTCAGCCAGCTCTAATCTGCCACTTTTTAAAAAGTCCTATTTTAAGCACAGTTGAGACTTGTGAGGTTTGAGCCAAGTTAGAATGTTGTTACTTCAACAAAAACATACCTGGAGTTGTGTTTTATTTCATTCACACATGTTTTAAGCATTTATTATTAGTCTGTGTACATCTCCAAAACTCAAAAGTATCTGTTCCACCTTGTGATGTCATGATGCAGTCGTTTTCAAGTTAATAGCTACCTTTTACCTTTGTTCATTAGAGATTGTCAATTCCGGGGCTGAAATCATCCAAATTATTTTTGTGAAGGTGTATGGAGTTTAAAAAGAGTGGAGCACTTCCTGTATTACCCCATGAAATCACAAGGTGGAAAGAAGTCAGCCTAACTGAGCCTTTTTGTGATGAGGAAACGAGATTATAACACAGATCAGAAAAAGCGTAATAAGAGCCCCTTGATGCACAAATCTCATTAGTACAAAAGACTGGGGAAGTGGTGTAGTGACTCTGCAAAGACTACACCACACAATGCCCTAAGTGGAGTAGCGGACAGAAGCACCTCATTTTCACATAAAAAGGCTGTTACGTGTTTAAAACGGAGGCATTCGTGGCAAATAGGAAGTGACCAAGGTATTTTCTCTTCCTTCCATTACACAGTGTCTGGACATTGACGCAAGTCTCACTGCAGTTTTAGAGCCTTTCACTTACTAGAGCTTAGCCATGGTTCAGCTGGAGATCATAAAACCACATTCCCCATGGTTGTAATATTTTAACTTAACTGCTACTATTACAATTGACTACAGGCAAATATCAGACCATCTTATTGACAATCTCTGTGACTGGGATATAACTGAATAATTCTCTCTTTAAAAATGTGAAGATTCTGCTCATTAATGTCTTATCACTATAGTTACCTCTTAAGAAGTAGTTTCCTCAATAACTTTTTCCTTTTCCTTGAGATTTTTCTTGGACCAATACCTGTACTTTTACGTCTAGTTATATTACTGTACTTTTTGCTCCGCCCACCTCTTCCGACTGTCACTTTGGATGATTTTAAATGGTTTTGCGGTAGTAATGCTGGTGAGCTGTAAAGCAGTAATGAGTCACAATTGTCATTAGGTAAGAGAAGGGTAATTAGCTCTGAATGCCAACCACACCATTGTTTCCACTCTCGAAATAACTCCCAATGGTCCTAATGCATTTTCAGTAATTATAGGCTGCTATTACCTGCAGTCAACGTGCTGCTAACACACATCACATAACATTTTAGTTTTGACATGTAGTTTTGTAGTTTGAGGCTTCTGAGTCAAAACATGTTGCTATTAATGCTTAATATACACAGAGAAGAATATAACTAGTCATTAGGCAAAATACCTACCATTTTTTTTTACCCATTTATATACTTCTAATTGGGTTTCAATTCTACGCAAATGATACTTTGAGGACAATAACTCAGTGAAAGCACACAGCACTACTTTACATATTCGGGTTGATATAATATACCCTTTGAGGTCTAATGTCCAGTATGTTGGAACAAGCACATGAACATCCAGTGTGTGTCCGCTTGAGGCTCATTATCATGGAAATAAGTTAATGGCCTCTCATGTGGTTCATCGTGCATGTTTTGGGTCATTGATGCGAGGTGTATGTGAACAAGACTGACCCAAAAGTAAAGAAAACCTAAAGTACATCTAGTGCGCTTTGGAGTTGGTCCACAGAGAACACACCTTTAACTGTTAATGAGCAGACTTTCTGTGATTAATGCACATGAACGAAAACAAGTCAGAACCTTGATATCTCATCTCAAGTTCCAGAGGACCACATGAATGCAGCCCCATAAGTGAATGTCTTTTTTTTCCGTGTAAAATCATGTCATTACCATAGTTAGTATTATATTGCATCACCATTCTTTAAGTTGGAGAAATACACTATTCCAATATAATTCATAGTAACAGACATACTATTTTGTAAGTACATAGACCCACCTTCATGAACATACTAAATCCAGTCTTGAGCAGGTCTGTGAGGCCCCCGGACATGTGCTCGATGTCTGGACACTCAGGTCGGTCTGGATGGAAGACTTCCTCCAGGATCTGCTTCAAGAATGGACGATAACTGGCCTAAAAAACACATAAAGGACAGACTGATTTTCAACAAAAACTTGGCTATAATCTGTCTGGATGAATAATAATGCTAGAGAGTGGCCTTGTTTAGCCTTTTGTTGTTTGTCTAAATGTGGGCAGGTGTGTGAGACTGGGACTATAAACAGATCCAAGCAAATGTGATTTCTGAGTCACTGGAAGAGCACTGTGGAGAATGGACAAATATAACATGTGACTTGACTGAAAACTTCACCTCCTCCAAAACATTCCTAACAAGTGATGTTAATGAGGTTATGTGCTGGAGGTGTAAACTCTCAGCCGAAAACATGATGATGAGTAGTATAAAAATAATAGTTTACAATTGAACAACAAGAGCCTACCTGTGTTATGTAATTGGCTTGGAACTTGTGGTGGCAGTGGTGATAATGGTTTAGCATTTAAAGTTTATGCCCGCCAACCAAAAGACTGATGGGTGGGTAATGTGTCTGACCTGTGCTTTCTGTTGTTGTGTCACTGGGCAAGACACTTCAAACACCTTGTCTCTCTTTGGAGGTAGTGTGAGTGATTGGCGGATGCTAAAATTTCAGAAATTTTGCCATAATAATTAGTGTATGTGAATCCAGTTGTTCTATTTAAAGTAAAATAATATATAAGACCTCAAAATCATTAGAACCAACTACCATATTTATCTTGTAAAACATATAATTAAGTAATTTTCTTATATTTGTAGACATTCAACATCATAATAGAACATAACCTTGTCACCATAACATGCATTATCAGTCATTCTTACGTGACACAGTTTTTAATAAGATCTTACTGAGTGGAAAACCTTGAGTCATACATTTATATCCCCCAGCAATGAGCAAAGAAGACTCAAGACAAGAATTCAACACAGATTTTTTCCAATGGGAGTTAAGTTTGCTATCTCTGTGGACAATAAACGCCAGATAAGAGTTGGCAGAGTTTGTGAGTCCTTAGAGACTCAAGGCCAAAAATAGAAGAACTGGAGTCTGTTTATAGGTTCTGATTAAAGAGATAATCAAGGTCTAGCAGCTAAATCTGGACGGCATACTTTCACTTTTAGCTGCGTGAAGAAAGTTAAAAAAATAGTTTAGCGTGATGTAGAATTAGTAACTGCTTTATTAAGACAGCTTTGGTATTCGGTGTTATCCCCATTTTTGGTCTTGTTCATGGTTATAACTTTTAACCCAACAGATAAGCATCACAATTATCAATAATCACAACTATCTCTGGGTCAGTAAGCACATTCATGAACACTAATAAATCTATCACAGGTTAAAAATGACATATACCCATTAAAATTCCAAACTGTGGCAAATTAATGAGAGAAGGAAAGAAATTAGGCTCTCACTTAGGTAGAAAATATTTTAAAAGCAGGACACATTAAAAACACCATCATGTGCCGGCTTGCACTTTCTTCAAGATGATATGAAAAATTTATTGTTTTGGACAAATTTTTTTGGGGGGGAAAAACAATCCTCTATTCTGTCTTGTTTGATTGAAAATGTGAGGTCTTTATGAAACTTCAACAAATACATTAGGATACCTTAATGTGGAACATGCAGCAGCATAGGTGGGACCAAGTCATTGTTTTGCAAGTCTCAAGTAACTCTCAAGTCTTTGACCGCAAGTCCAAGTCAAGTCCCAAGTCAAATACATGCAAGTCCAAGTCGAGTCTCGAGTCACTGGCCCATAAGTCCGAGTAAAGTCCAAGTCATCTGGTTTGAGCTTTTCAAGTCAAGTATTTTCAAGTCTTTAAACCAAAGTACCAAATATAATATAGCTTAGATTTTTGCTACTTATATGACTTAAAGTAAACTAAATAGTCATAGTATATTTATATATGAGTATTTATAGAGTAAGAGTTGTACAAATGAACAAAAATGTTCCTTTTTAAATGTACTGACGATATCTTAGTGTAAATCATTACTTATGCTTATTGCTTATCAAGTCACAGGCCTCAAGTCCGAGTAAAGTCCCAAGTCATTGAACTTCAAGTCCAAGTCGAGTTCCAAGTCTTAGTCCATTTTATCAAGTCCATTCTCAAATCGTAAAACTAGTGACTCAAGTCTGACTTGAGTCCAAGTCAGGACTTTCAAGTCCCCACATCTGTGCAGCACTAACTCTCCATTCATTAACTCCATTCAGACAAGCAGGTTGGGGACCCTCCAACAGAAAAGTTTCATAGTGTACCTTTATTAACTATTTCCTAATCAGCAGCAGGATAAGTTATACTTATTTCTTAGTTATTTGTAAAGCGTAGAAATTATACAACAATGTATACAGTTTTGGTAACGCCACCCACACCGGAAGCATGTTGTTTTGTTATGTGACTGCATTAGGACTGAATAACTCACTCACTCCCATTATATGCCCCGTTTATTACTGCTGTAAATAGACACACCTCTGGATAAACAATGACAAATACAAGTCAATGTTCCCAGGTGTCTCAGCCCACAGTGGCTCTAAATATGGACCAGAAGCAGCAACAGGGGCAGCAGAGTGTGTCGGCGCGTTAACAGGGGACACTCCTACACGAGTCCATGAAAGGACACAGCAGTACAGGGGGAATCCACTTCTGTCCTGCTCGTAACATACACCAGGCATCTCTATATAAACAACAGAGACAGTCACTTCTCAGGGCCTGTAAAATGGAGTTAAACAAATTAATGACTCACAGAAAATTGGTCAAAATAACACGCACACTTAATAAATAATGCAAAAGGTCTAAACACTAAATCCTACCTACGATAACACAGCTTTTTTAACAGCGCTTATCCAATTCAGGCTAAAAGCAATGCTATTAAAAACAACACCCACATGGTAAAAAACATTAAAATCAGTCATTTGATAATGCCAGAGATGCATTAACAAAAACACAACCAGGAGATATAAATGAAATTCGGGTACACAAAACTACTTGTACAGATACATTTTTTTGTACAGAAAAATAAAACACGAATGAAAATACATTCTTGCGTCACATTTGGTTTCCAGTTCGAGCAAAAATAGATGAAAAGATAGCAGTCCTGAAAACTGGTAACATACTTTCAAATGACTTTCTTCTCTTCCTGTCCCGTAAATGTCTGAAATACAAATTTACATGCAGCTATGTACTAGAACTAGTCGACTCACTGGAGAAGTTCTTACATGATGTCATGGAAATGTGGCACTAAAACTTTTGACACTCAAAAGGTTAATGAAAGTGGAGGAAAGATGAGTGAGAAATAAATACAAATAAAAAAGAAGAAAACTTAATAAATGAATATTATTTAATTTAGGTTAGTTTCTGCCCTGCTCTATTAGTTTCTTTTTGCAAAGACATTCCCGTCTTTTGCAGAATGAGCTCCTCTATAGTCCAGAGCTCATTCTGCAAAAGACACTTAAAGCTGTGCTCCCACAGCGAAAGATACAAGACTATGTTCATACCATACATTCATACCATACTCCATGCAACTGTACAACTCCTCATCCTTATGTAATATACAGTATGTGATGTCAATGAGACCATTCTCCTTTATGCACTCAATTTCCTTACCCCACCTCCTGCATATAGTATATACATTTGAACATATTGTATTTTATTTGAACTGAAACACAGAATTTGTACCATTAAACTTTTTTTCTCCCATCTTTTGCTAATGTAATAACTATTAGAATTGTATTACCTTATTTGCTCTTTGTTTTTATATCATATTTGACTTTGTCATCTAAAAGTAAAAGCTTATTTTGAGTTTATCCACCAAAACATAAAAAATCTTTTGTATCATCATCATATTTTCTACAGGGGTAAAGAATGCTTTGTACACTCCACAATGTAGGTCTTTAGGAATAAAAACCCATAAGTTTATTTTAAACAAATCAATAATCAAATTTTTTTTTTCACATTTCCAACACATCCTAGCATAACAATGGTTCCGTTATGCAATGCAAGATCTTCTTTTGAGAAGAAAAGAGACTTGTCCGCTTTTACGCAAACAATAAATCGCTGAGGAGAATGGACTACTTCAGTTTGTGACAGTGATTTACACAGAATACACTTTAGACATGAGCGCAAAAACATCCCGTCTCTGACTGAACATAGTCTGCCGGTTGCCTAGTCAACTCTGAGAAAACAGGGCACAAGGAATGGGCTAGGACTAAGAGCATATTTTCATAGATGGACAATATTTAGATAAGCAAGATAGCTAGCAAGAAGATAAGCAAGGGTGGGTGACATGCCACAGAGAATCCTAGATCACAATTTCAATTTCAATCACAATTCGCAGTAGGTTGCTTGTATTTAAGAAGAAGCTACTATCTCCACCTGTCATATATTATCACAGGGATCCAATGACTATTCATGCAAAATACGTCAAATCCTCCAACTAAGACAGTCCTGACCAAGCCTAGCTCAAGATCTGACAGAATGGGTCAAATGCAGGGAACAAATTGCAGCTCTTCTGCAAATAATAGTTACATGTGCATTTTTGTGTGTTTATGCAAGTTGTGTTTGGCTGGAAAATCAAGGGCACAGCTATTTGTCAGTCCTATATGTTATGATTATGTAAGTTGCAAACTCTGCACTTGACCACAGTGTACCAATGTTTACATGTTTATGTCAGAACTGTTCTGTTCAGAACTGTAGCATTGGGACAAGGACAAGTGTTTCTTATAGTTCATCTTATGTAACAGTCATGTTCCGTACATACAATAGTTTTAGGTAACGTCTACCACACTCACACACACTGAAGATTTATTACAAGTGTCATATGTACACTGGAGTGCTAATAGACACCTGAAAATGATGCCTGGAGAGGAACGCCAAGTCAAGTTTAACTGGATGAGATTCTATAGAAAAGATTACATGACTTGACAGTGTCTTTTGAGTGTCATATTTGAGAACCCTGCAGTAGTGATGGGTGATGCCACATTTTTTTGGAATTTATACCAATACTGAGTCCTTGTGGAGTCTTTTTTATTACACCAATACTGAATACTGGTGGAGAGTGTAATCAGATAGAATGGAGATACATTTATAAAAAATACATGCCAAAATGACAAAAATACAAAAAAGTATAAGAAATGACAAAGATGGTCTTGATTTGGTCTTGATGAGCTGTGGTCTCGGTCTTGTCTTGGTCTCAACCTTTAAAAGTCTCAGTCGACCCTCAGAGGTCTTAGTCTTGCCCTGGTCTCGAGATCCTGTGGACTTGGACAAGTCTTGATTTCGGTTAGTGAGCGCTTGTCTTCAACTATTAGATGTGCCAACAAAGTGGCCTAAAACGTTATAATTTTTCTTTATTCATTTATGCAAAAATGGTTCTTTAATTAATGAGAATCCATCCTAGGCACTGTTTAAAAGAAACTCAAGTAAATGCAGAGAAACTAAATAAAAAATAAAAAACATGCTTGAGGACATGTACAAATGAAAGAGCATTCCTCTTGGTAACATAATACTCACTTAATACATGTGGTACCTGTGCAGAGAACATTGTATATGAGGTGAATAGTGGCATTTCTGTGCAGCTGTGGTTACATGTGACAAAGACGCGCGCAGCTCCTGTGTGTCATCAATTATGGCTTCAATAAACACCTCAGACCCAATAATGGAGAAAGCCTGAGTCCTATTCACTATTCACTCAACAGACACAATGTGATTACTTCAAATGTGGGTACATGAGGTGTACAAATGTTCTTAAACGTGCTGTACTCCTTGGAAAGTGCAACATGGTCAATTATGAAGGTGGTACAGAACATTTCAAGATTTCATAATAAAATGTAAGATCAATTTTCTGCACACATAAAAACAGCATACAGTTTCTTTCTGCTCAGGCCACAGCAAACTGTATCAGCAGGTGAAAAAAGAAAGTAATAAAAAAGCAGTGAAGTAAAAACCACAAGACAATAATAATCTGGCAATACTATTTAGATGTTCATTAAAGCTACCATATGACTGACCCGGCCCTATGGTGGTCTCACATATCACCACTAGATGGCATCTGTGTTACTGCTGTCAGACAGTGTGCCAGCTATAGCCTAACAGAAGAACATCAGAAAGTTCCTAGGCACAATGCCCGAACAAAGGTCAGGTCAGGGGAGGGGGGAACAGGTTTCATATCTGCAATCTACTGGTGAAAAAAAACAAAACAACTTACAGATGGTAGCTTTAAAGGCACTGGACCTGATTTTTACTAACACAACAAGTTCATTTTAAATGGTTTGCAGTGGTCCAGAGTCGTCTCGCACTTACCCTATGCTTTATGACAGTAAAACTAACAACAACTAGCAAGCTAATGTGCCTTTCCTGATTATCAGACAATAAAACACTTTCTCATTAGAGGCACAGAGCATGCAGCAGACATATTTGGACCTTAAGAGTGTAGGAAAAATAAATAAAGAATGTATTAACTTTATTATAACAGAGCATTTAATATCTGTTGTTCAAATTGTGTTTAATGTCAGGTATTGACATTACCATTATTATTGCTTTAGATTGTGTTGAAATATTTATCATTGTGGATAAAAAAAATAAATAAAAAATTATGTAACAGCGAAATGCACATGTGTGAGCCTCACATTTAAGTGTTTGAAGTTGAAAAAGAGAAGGATGCTTGGTGGAGAGTGGCTGCACAGTGGGTGTTAAAGCATCATGCTGGGAACACCAAAACATTTCTGACCACCCTAAACACCCCAAATATACCCCCAGTTTCCTCCTCCTTCATGACCTGTTATCTTCATCATTCAGGTAGGGACTAGGACTGAAAGTACTATTCTGTGTAGTGCAGAAGTCCACAAGCCGAGATGTCAATGCAAAGAGAAATAGTTAGAGCCATGAGATGCAAAGCCATCATTTACCACAACGGGCTTAAGATGATTATTTGAATTCATGAAGCACGAAATTGAGGAGATGGTTGGAAAGATGGTAATAGCACAAGAATAGATTAGAAGGTAACATAGCGTCTGTTATGTAATACTTGAAACGAATGTCTGAAAACGTGAAATGTTTGATGCAGGAGAACAGACTGTCACTGACATGGTTTTGACTCCCAGATACAAATACTGAAATCGAGTTTTTGAGCTTTTGAACTCCAAGCACAGAGTTAAATAGAGTTATACAGAGTTATATAATCCTACAACTGGACACAATTTACAATGTGCTCTCTCAAACTTCTCTTGCTTTCTATGACTTGCAAGGATGACAAGGCCAAAGGTTGTGGTGTACAAGAACAGCTCAGTATGTTCCCCATTCCCAAGTATTTTATAGCTTAAAATCAACCAAGAAAGAAAGTAAGACTAAAAACAGTATTTGTGGTTGTTTTTCATTGGATTTTAACCCTTCATATTTCTCTTCTCACTCTTGTCACAGATGTTATGATGCTCCTTACATTGCAAAATGGCTCATTTCAAAGTGTAAACAGTGTTGTTGTACCTGGTGAACTCCGTCACTCGCAGTGTAGATGGAGCGCAGCTGCTTCAGGTGGTCCCGACTGTGGCTCAGACCCCTCAGAGTGTCAAACATCTGCTCCACCACAGAGTGAGTGTGTGTCATGGTCAGTTCCTCTGGGCTCGAGCAACCTGGACACACAAATATAATACACATTTAGTTTTGAAACCAGTATAATTTTAGCAATCAACAAGTTTAATTGTCATAGTTTAATAGTTCACTTGGTAACCACATATTATTATTATTATTATTATTATTATTATTATTATTATTATTATTATTATTTACAATACTACTACTACTACTAATAATAATACCACCATAGATGTGTAATGTCTACAAGATTGACAAGCCTCTCAAAGTGCTACACTGAAGTCGTCATTCATTCCTGGGGTAGACTGACAGAAGCAAGGCTGCTAATACACCATTGTACAAAGTATTCTGGGAAAGTTTATGACGCAGTTTCTGTGATTATGAGCTATATGTAAATAAAATGGAATAGTATTTTTATCAGAAGGACAGAAAGACGTCATATGAAGAATTTAGCCAGTTGGAAACTAAATAGGTTTAAGCAGGTGTAGCAGGGCAGTTAGTGTTTTTTATGAAGGCTGGCCTAGTGAAAATGTGACATAACAAAGGCAAAGAAATGCAAAAAGCCCAATTAAACAAAAGAAACGCAACACGTGCAGAAAGCATACAGTCTGTGTCATCACAAAACGCCATAAGGTTCAACCTGTAGCAATCTGCGGGCCATTTTCTCAGCATGGTGCTCACTGAACCAATTACACAGGCAAAATGTGGCCACTCCGGGACAAAGGGGCTATTATTTGGGGGTAAAATAGTGCAGTGTACTGAAAAGCTGAGGTAGTGTGAGAGCCAGAGGAGTGATAGTAAAATGAACCAGATCACAGCAGGTTTAAGTACGCAGCAGGACAATGGAGGAAAAATAGATCGAACGGCACATGGGTATTAGTCAGGAATGTAGCACTGTGTGAGTCTATGGAGGTCAGGTCTGCAGACAGACACATGCACTATACAAGGGCTGCACATTATGAGATATTATAGTATTTTAATAGACTTGCAATAAGGTCAGTTCAATAAAAATATACATGTCTTTAATTACAGCCAAACTGTGTCAAAAAAAAAAAAAGACCAAACCAAGTCTAATGTAGGAAAATCATGAATAAAATATGCCTTTTTGTCCATATTACTTTCTAAAAAATAGTAAGTTTCAACTGTGTAACAACTGTGTTTTGGAATATATACAGGCCAGCGTGGAGAAGGTCCTTTACAGAAGCAAGATCCACATTTTGAGCCACAAACCAATCCTCAAATCCAGTGCACATGTGAAGTATATCTTAAACTTAACCATTTTCTGGACAACTTTGTTTTCTTTTGATGAGTTAATACATAGATCCATGCATATTTGCACAAACCACATTAGCTGGCACTGTCCTATTATAACTGTCGCACACAGCTATTATTCTTTTTTATTTATTTTATTATTTATTTATTCTATTTGTGGTTCAATCTCAAAAGAAAATTAATCTTCTTTTCAAAGCACGTAATGAGGAAAGTGTTTTTGAACTGTGAACAAAGAAAAGCGGATACAGCGAATGAATAGAAAAAAAAAACACTATTATGTCGAGAGCATACTGAATATCTCAGCCAGGGTCAGTCAAAAGCATCTCCGTCTTGAATGTGACCGTTAGTGCTTAGACGCTCATGCATGACTACAACCAATGCAGGCTCCGGAAACCTAATTACTGCTCTTATCCTCAGAATTATATAACTCCACATGAGCTAACACTTTTCTACAGGCCTGCAATGAAAGTACAGCTAATACAAACAATACAGAGATAACACTGAAAATGGGCTTAACATGTGTTGATTGATATCTTGTTGCACGCTAAAGCAGCGCAGGGTAACCTCATTATTTAGGCTGTCTAAAGGGGGTTTGCCAAAGGATTCCTGAGACATGCAATAGCTTTAATCTAGACCTATATAAATACCTGACTTCATAATGTGTGTTACTGTCATTCTATTCTGGAGTATGTGTGTTAGGCAACAGTGTCAGCAAAGTGTGCACACAGAGTCACTACTCCAATCTGTGTTATTTGTTACTGTGTTGTACTGTGTGTTACATATGTGATAGTACATGGAACTGAAGGATAGCTGAAGAAAGAAACTGAAGAGATTCTGAAACCTAACACCAAATAATATATGATAAGTAAAAATATTAACTGGAAAGTGGTGCCTGTCAGTCAGGTTGGAATAATATAGCCATTTTTCAACAGTAACAGCAAGTACATGAAAATCTGCTGCTTGCTACAGTGATACAGAGATATCCCTTTATGAACATGCAGTTTCGAACTGAAAGTCAATGGACCTGTTTCACTTTAGATCCAACTGTAGTTTATAATGAGCTACATGTATTTAGGTTAATACTAAATACCTGAAAAAAACACAATATTTTTTCTTTTAAGTATTACGGTAATGAGCCATGGTAAAATAAATAAAATAAAAAAAGGGTATTAACTGCTAACAGTGGCGGAGTTAGCAATTTGGGGGCCCTACGTGAACCTGAGTTTTTCTTTTATTTCTATATTTTATTGTCTGTTTTTCCCCCATTGTTCTTGAGACATGCACAATTCTATTTATTTGAATTATGGTAGATTGGAGACTTGTCTTATTAGTTAGGAAGCCTAGGTAACCAGAACTTTGCTAGTACAATTACATTTTTATTTAGATCCATTTTATAAGATTATTATTATTTTTCTTATGATTATTTTTAAAAGTAAACTATTCTCATTTAATGTCATACTGAGAGAAAATCAAATTGCTCTGAGGCCATTAGTGATACTGAGGGGAACTGGTTGGGGGCACATAACATCTTTAGATCACCATATTAGCTTTTACATAAAGTAAACATAAAAATGACAGATAAATTTCACTTTCTGTTTATGGCTTATGCTTGTGGGCTGAGCATTGCACAGAATCTTACAGCTAGCCGTAAGGAGTGTTAAAATAAGGCTTGTGATGATTAAAATAGTCAAACATGCATGGATTAAACTCAAATCTCTTAAGGCATGTTTTTGATGAGGGAACATTATAACATGGTAGAATGCTAAAAACAACAACAACAACAAAAAAAACAAACTATTTTGCATATTACATAAAACCTTGAATTCAAACCCTAGCCAGAAACACAATAACTGCAAAAAACGATCACCAGAAGATCTCTATATCCCATGAGAGGTGCAGTATCCACAGTTTGAGAAGCCTTGGGTTAGAGCGATGCGGGCCTGTCTCAGTGGTCTGCTCCTGTATATTTCCTGGTTGAGAGGTAAACTCACAGATAGAAGGATGTTTGATGAAACTGATAAAGCCACATAAGGGCCTTATCATTGTAGGCAAACATGGCTGCATAGGAGAAGGGCTTATTCTAAACAATACTAAGCCTAAAGTATGTAGAAAGGGCTGGATAATATAGATGACAATATTATCTTCAATTTAGTTAAACAGAACAGTTAAAAGGATAGATTTAAATGCAGTAAAAGTGAATGACATTATTGTTGTGAGAGATGAAGATAGTGTTAGATGGACAAGATGAATTGGTGTGACAAACTAAACATAAGAAGTACAGAGTATAGTTGATTATGCTTTAAATGAGGGTATAAGCAGTTCAATGCCGTTATCAGGGTTCCCACTCTTTTTCACAAACTGACAAAATTTCAAAACTTTTCCATGATTTTTTCAGGAGCTAAAGTGAATTTTTCATGACTTTACAGCACCTACATGTGTAAAACTGATACTAATACTTCTAGGGCTAAATATGAAATGTTAACCGTTTCCACTCACGTTATGGTTTGGGTTTATAGTTTTTTAACATTCAAAATACTGTCAATGCATTTATTGTCGTCTCTTCTAAACAAAATGTGAAGACTTTTGGAAATAATCATAATAGCCTAATGATAACTTAACAGAATGCTGTAGTTGCACGAAAAATATACTAAAATTCCATGATTTTTCCAAAACTTTCAGTGAATTTACAAAATTCCATGACTTTTCTAGGCCTGGAAAATTACATTTTCAGTTTCCATGACTTTTCCAGGATTTCCATGACCGTGGGAACCCTGCGTTATAAAACAAAATGCAATTAGCAGAGCAAAGTCATTGTCCTAGTTGTGTAAGATCGGTTTAGTTAACACCTTGTTTACCAGTTTTTCACACATCTACTAAAATAACAAGCACACACATATACACAGAAGTGGGCGATAAAGACAAAAATGTACATCTCAACGCAATATTTTAAGAATGCATCAGTAATGTGCTAAAACGTGCCTGTCATTGTCCTGGTACAGATCCAAGTCTACCACAACACGTGAATAGAATCTAAAATTAGTCACAATGAAATATTGCTTTATATACCATTGTTTGGGAGAATGACATTTCTGTCTCTTTTTGAGGAAAATTTTTATTGTTTTAAATTCAGACAATATACTCAGTTTTTCAATATATTTCCCACCTATACAAGATTATTGCCTAGTCATATTATTAATGCATTTTCCACATAACAATAAAAGATGAAAGGTTTGTAGTAGTCTGGTAATAACACAGCGAATAGGTTACTGAAAAAAAAAACAGCACTTTGCAGTTCATATTTAAGTCCATTTCCTTCACAGAGAGATGTGTGCAGTCATCATCAACACATCACTGTCAAAAAATATGTCTAAAACAATAAAAACAGGAAAATAAATCAATAAATAAACATGTAAATCTAAATAAACAGACAATCACTACCACAATCAAATTTTAATGGTGCAATCTGGTCAAGCTTGGAGAGTTTGCCCATCTAAACCAGAGCTATAATGGATGTTTTATTCCGAAAGAACATTTATGGTGGCAACAGGACAGGACTGCAGCAATAAGAGCATTTGGTAAGTCACATTGCATCTGAAGGAATCTGAAGGCACAGTTCTGGAGGTGCTTCCTGGTTCAGATCATGTGTCTGTGGCTGCTGCATGTGTTTGAGTGGGGTCCAATCCCACGATATCACATGCCCCCCCAACCTATCGCACTGTGAACCCGCCTTGTACCATGCCACATGGGGAGTCAGACCTGTCAGCTG